TATTTATCATATTATGGCCTAGCATTTGCACAGTTGATCAAGTAAATGGATCCAAACCCTCTCTACAAGACCAGCTGCTTCCATTTTATCGATAATCTTCTGCTTACTTTTGGCTTGCCTGACCTAAAATAAGTCAAACCACAATTAACAGCCAATCTAATACATGATATAATAAATACAAATTTTGAATTGCATACCAAGTTGGCGTAGGTACCGGCTGAGGCGATAAATTTCTTAATATGTGCTATTTCATCTTGTTGTTTGTTGTAGGCTTTCATTTGATTTGTTTCCTGTTTTGAAAGAAATGGGTAAAAAGTGCTTTAAAAAAGAAAATGAAAATATTCAAAAGACTATTACCTGTTCTATCCTCGTGCGTACGTACGTATCGTAGTTTCCACCATAATAAATCAGTTTACGTTGTTGGTTGAGACTAAATAGAGGATAATAGACATGAAATTCGTTAAGCAAGAACGATATCAAGACGGTCGCTACCGTTGAATGGTAGTACTTACTGTATAATATTCGTGCAAACACCATTTAAGAAATCCTGTGAATGTGAGACGATAACCAATATACGGTTATAGTTTTTGAGATATTCCTCTAACCAAACACAAGCTTCTAAATCCAAGTGGTTGGCTACAAACGAAAATCGGCACAATCAATAACAATTCCTAAAAGCTATATCAGACAACCCAAAAAATTCAGTACATACTTGGTTCATCGAGCAACAACAAGGTAGGCCGAATAAATAGAGCCTTTGCAAGTGCAACCCTCATCCTCCAACCACCAGACATGTCTTTCGTCTTTTTTTTCATCATCTCTTGAGCAAAGCCAAGACCATTGAGGAGGCTAGCCGCGCGTGACTCAAAAGTAGATTCATCTAAAGCAGATATTCGATCGTATAAATCCTCAAGTCGAGGATCATCTGCTCCATCTTCCGTGGCAAGTATATCCTCAAGCTCTCGCTCGAGACTATAATAATGTACATGACAGTATGAGTGATTTTCCTAGTTTTCATTTAGAAATTAAAATCAGAGAATGGAAAAGACGAGACATTACCGTTGGACTTCCTCTTTCGCTGCTTTTACAACATATTCTGTAGCATTTACGTCAGATGGCTCTGCCTCATGGTTTAACAAATGAATCTACGGTGATTTATCAGAGATCAATTGGAGATCAGAATGTGGCAATTGTAAAAAAAAAAAACATTGAAATAAAAAGACAGAGTATTACATCGATGTGTGTCGGTATCTCAACTTCTCTTGCAGCGAGTGAAGCCAGGAATGTACTCTGTTTTCAAAACGCGTCAGAGCCATTAATAACAAATGACGAGCAAAAAGAAATGACAATTCGGTTTAAATACGCACTTTCCCAGCCCCATTTTGAGCAATAAGCCCATATCTAGACAATATCAAATCGAATAAATTTCGCTGGTCTGTCAAAAAACTTGCAAATTGGAGACGTCCAGTTTCTCTTGCACAAACTTACCGCCGGCCAAAGTTCAACTCGATTGTAGCATTTTCAATCAGCACTCTACCAAAAAAGGATAAATAATACTGCCCAATCTTTACATCTCGAGACAGCGGGTGTGATTCTAATACACCAGTAGCAGTTCTTTCGCTAGATATTTTCAATGAATCCAGCGATAGTCCTGTAGCATCAGATGTTTCATTTACAGTCGAGGTACCGTTAGCAGTACTTTTGGGGGCAGCTGCCTTGGCCGCTTTCTTTGCTTGACGCTTTTGTTTAGAAGTAGACATATTTTATTGGATCTATTAAGAAAAACTGTTGTAAAGAGATTTCGTCTATGAAGGATGCAAAAAAAAAAATTAACTTCTGTTGCTGTCATAGCATTTTTGATGGATCGGGGCATGCCGGATGAATGAAAGGGCGCAGCAGACTAGGCTATGATTGGCTTGTAGAGAATGTTCAGCTAGAAAGTGACGAAAGGCGATTGGATGTGGCGTCAAATTTATGGCGGCCTGACATCATTTGTGCAAAGCAAGTAATCACTGGAAAATAGTTCAGAGACCAGCCGTGAGATAGCTGGGTATATAAACGGGGCCCACAGGCTTTTTGCCTTCATAATAATTATAAACCTTTCTCTGCTAACAACCAAACTCGCGTATTTTATTGTCAAAATGTCTGATCCATCCTTTCAGCAAAACTTAGTTGTTGAAGATGAGCCTATTCAGGATTCATCCTTTCGGGGAAACGCAGCTGTTGAAAGTATTCCTACTCCGGAACCACCGATAGCAAAGACTCAAAAACCTCATGTCGAGCCCGTCCAACGTAAGTTGTAATCTTCACAATGTTTAACTATTTCAGGCCTTTTTGTTAATGCGTATATTCTTTACGCATGCAGATCTATGCAGTGCAGCTAATTCTACAGGTATGACAGTCTAAATTCGCACGCACATATCACTATCGCACATATTTGTCATCGTTTTGCTTTACCAACTTTTAGCAACAAGCTTGATATACTGGGAGAATCCATTGCATTCAGTCGTCGTTCTCGCACTTGGTCTCGCCGCTTGCAGTCTGTTTTATTACTATTCTGTTTCGAGTATATACGCGGCAGTTGCATTTTTTGTTCTATTTGGCAATTGGTTATACGTTCTCGGATACAAACAGCTGCAACATCTACTTGGGGGCGAACCAAAGCATCCTTTCGAGTAAGTAGACCGCGTCTTAGTATAACGCTAGAATGACACCTGCATTGTGATATGATGATTGATATATCTACTGTTTATTTAGGCGTCATATTTTAGAGCGTTCATTCATCATACATAAAGACCTGGTGGAAAAACATTCGGATGTATCGTTGCAAATTGCCAACTCCTT